CGGAGGAGGAGGGAGAGAAAGCGCTCCTCGTGATTTGAGTCGTTTGGGGTTTCTCGTCCTGGTGTGAGTCGTTCGGGCCCTTCTTCCTGGTGTGAGTCGTTCGGGCTCTTCGTGGTGTGAGTCGTTCGGGCTCTTCGTCCTGGTGTGAGTCGTTCGGGCTTCTCGTGGTGTGAGTTGTTCGGGCCCCTCATCCTGGTGTGAGTCGTTCGGGCCCCTCCTCCTGGTGTGACTCGTTCGGGCTCCTCGTGGTGTGAGTCGTTCGGGGCCCGCGTCGTGGTGTGAGTCGTTCGGGCTCCTCGTGGTGTGAGTCGTTCGGGCGCCTCGTCCTGGTGTGAGTCGTTCGGGCCCCTCCTTGTGGTGTGAGTCGTTCGGGCTCTTCGTGGTGTGAGTCGTTCGGGCCCCTCGTCCTGGTGTGAGTCGTTCGGGCTCCTCGTGGGGCCTCTTGGGGGCCTCTTGGAGCCTCTTGGGGCCTCTTGGGGGCCTCTTGGGGGCCTCTTGGGGGCCTCTTGGGGGCCTCCTGGGGCCTCTGGGGGCCTCTTGGGGGCCTCTTGGGGGCCTCTTGGGGGCCTCCTCTTGGGGGCCTCTTGGGGGCCTCTTGGAGGCCTCTTGGGAGGCTCCTGGGGGCCTCTTGGGGCCATCTTGGGGCCTCTTGCGACCTCCTCAGAAGCGCAAAGAAGCGCTGCCCCCTGAGAAGGACAAAATGAGCCCAAAACCTTCGTAAAATCAATGATTTTGCTATGAAGGAAGATGAGCGCGGCCCCCTCGGGAGGCCAACATGGGGCCAACACCATCGTAAAAGCAAGGATTTTTGGCTTCACAGAAGAGGAGAGGGCTCCAAGTGCGTCCCCCCGTCGGGGCCAGAATCCTCGTGAGGGTCGTGTTTTTTTCGCCCTCCCAGGAGTCGAAGAAGACCCCCCTGGCCACCCGCCGGGCTCCCTCTCCAGGCCCAGGGGGAGGGGGTAGGGGGAGGGGTAAACCCCTCCCCGAAGGGGACTAAGGGGGGTTGAGGACAGAGGGGGCTCGCTAAACCACTCACGCCCTAAAGGGCTGGTGGGATTAGACCTCGCCGTCCCTGGGGGGCTGCGATCTGTGAAACTGTCGCCACTTTCGAGGCCTGCTGGGGGGCCCAGCACAGTGGGCACTCACCGCAGATTCAAATCAGACCTCGCCATCCCTGGGGGGCTGCGATCTGTGAATCGCCACTTTCGAGGCCTGCTGGGGGGCCCAGCGCAGTGGGTACTCGTAATCACCGCAGATTCAAATTAGACCTCGCCATCCCTGGGGGGCTGCGATCTGTGAAACTGTCGCCACTTTCGAGGCCTGCTGGGGGGCCCAGCACAGTGGGTACTCACCGCAGATTCAAATTAGACCTCGCCATCCCTGGGGGGCTGCGATCTGTGAAACTGTCGCCACTTTCGAGGCCTGCTGGGGGGCCCAGCACAGTGGGTACCACGCGGATTCAAATTAGACCTCGCCATCCCTGGGGGGCTGCGATCTGTGAAACTGTCGCCACTTTCGAGGCCTGCTGGGGGGCCCAGCACAGTGGGTACCACGGCAGATTCAAATTAGACCTCGCCATCCCTGGGGGGCTGCGATCTGTGAAACTGTCGCCACTTTCGAGGCTGCTGGGGGGCCCAGCACAGTGGGTACCCACCGCAGACTCAAATTAGACCTCGCCATCCCTGGGGGGCTGCGATCTGTGAAACTGTCGCCACTTTCGAGGCCTGCTGGGGGGCCCAGCACAGTGGGTACCCACCGCAGACTCAAATTAGACCTCGCCATCCCTGGGGGGCTGCGATCTGTGAAACTGTCGCCACTTTCGAGGGCTGCTGAGGGGCCCAGCACAGTGGGTACCCACCGCAGACTCAAATTAGACCTCGCCATCCCTGGGGGGCTGCGATCTGTGAAACTGTCGCCACTTTCGAGGGCTGCTGGGGGGCCCAGCACAGTGGGTACCCACCGCAGACTCAAATTAGACCTCACCATCCCTGGGGGGCTGCGATCTGTGAAACTGTCGCCACCTTCGAGGGCTGCTGAGGGGCACAGCACAGTGGGTACCCACCGCGTGTTGGCCAGCTACTCTTGCCACTTCAACGGTCAACCGACAAAAACCTTCAACGGTCAACCGACAAAAAGAGTCACCTTTCTTTCTTCTCCCGCCGCTTTCGTCCTTGTTCTCCTCCTGCAGTCACCTTCCCTCTGCTGCTGTTGTGCTGATGGTTCGGCTTCCCGCACGTTTTTCTCCTGCTCTGCGTTCCCGACTCCCCATGTCCTCTTCGAGCCTGTTGCTGTCGCCCCTCGTTCTTGTATGGTTCTCCTGCGCATCATGCCATAGGCGCGTGTCCCAAGTAGCTTACACATCAAGTTGATTGTCCATGCAAGTTTCGGCCAACTCCTCGTTTCCATTGATACAGACGGGTTGTGTACGTCACAGGGTAATTATTATTATTATTATCATTATTATTATTACTATTATTATTTTTATTTTGATTATTATTATTCTGATTATTCGTATTAGTATTATTAGTATTCGTATTAGTCTTAGTATCAGTATCATTAGTATTATGTATTATGCTTGTTACTGGTATTCAAACAATAATACTACTAAAACAAATATTAATAATTTTACGAATAGTAATAAGAACAAGAAGGAGCGGAGGAGGTGGAGGAGGCGGAGGCGGAGGCGGAGGCGCATGCGGAGGCAGAGGCGGAGGAGGCGGAGGTGGAGGAGGAGGAGGCGGTGGAGGCGGAGGAGGCCTCCTGGGGCTTCTTGATGGCTTCCTGGGGGGCCCTTCCTGGCTGCTGAGGGCCTCTTGTGGGCCTCTTGGGAGCCTCTAGGGGCCTGCAAGGAGCGGCCTGGTTTTCGGAGGCCGTCTTGGGGGGCCCCACTGGGCCGTCTTGGGGCCCTCGTGGGACGCCTGCGGGCCGTCCTGAAGGTCTGCGTGCATTCCGGGGGTTCTCGGGGGTAGCTTGGGGCTGGCTCGGCGTCCAGAGAGCTCCCCCGCGACACACCCCAAGAATTCTCGGGAGCGCCCAGGACACCGGTGGTCGGGGCCCAGAATGCCCTTGGTGCGAATCCCTGGAACATGCACAGCTGACTGCTGAGCCTTGGGGCGCTCCACTAAGGGTTTTTGCTGCACGATCGGCCATCCCGATTGTTACATGACGGCATCTCTGACGAAGCGGTATCGACCCCATTCCGTCATCCTTTGCAGACGCTACTATTAATCGCTTCGCTCATTCCGCCGGCCCGTATTCTGCCATCGTTTGCGGTTGGGTGATCGGGACGTAGCTGAAATATGCAGTTGTCTTCGGCGTATCCCGCCAGGTTGGCCTCTGTAGGACCTCTGGAATGCAGATCTGAAGCTTCAAGAAGCGTCTCGGAGGTACTTTCTTCGGAGCCTCTGGGAGCCTTTTGGGCCCTCTAGAGGCCTCTTGGAACAAGTGCTCTAGTTCCTTGGAGCGTCTTGTGGCGTCTGTGGGGCTTCTTCGAAGCCTCCTGGGGGCCTCTTTTGGGCCTTTGGTGGCCTCTTGAGCCTCGTGAGGGCCTCTTGGAGGCTTTTGGCGGGGTCTTTGGTGCCTCTGGGGCCTCTTTGGGGGCTCTTGGGGAGCTCTTGGGGCGGGAGGCGGAGGTAGTTCATTGCGGCTCCTCCCTCCGAGGCCACGATCCTCGTGAGGGGTGTCTAAAAATTGGCCCTCCCCTGGAGTGCTCTGGGGGGACCTGACTGGGACCTAGCAGGGGTACTTTTCGTCCGGGGGCCCCCAGGGGCCGCCCCGCGCGCGCGAACTAGAAATATTGTTAACCAGTTCCCGGAGATCTTAGCACGCCTCTGGCCCGTTGGGCCAGCGAATTCGGTGCGCATGCGTTGATCTAAGAAGTGCGTTTTCTTGGCAGGCACGGGCGCCAACTTGTCGAAAGCCTAGGACACCAATCCACTTGCTTGAACGCCAAGTAAGAGCCCCTAAGTGCAAGCGTTGTTCGGGGACAAATTTGAGCCCCTCCCTGCCGAGACCAGACTGGTTCCCTCCTCTCCGCGTGCAGTGTTTGAGTGTTCTCGTGTTCATTCTGCACGGTCGCTGATCCCAGAGATCCGAGGTCGTGATTTTTTCAATACGGGGTCCCCGGAAGTCTCGACCCATTCCCCAGGACCAGTTTTTCATCCTGAGTCGTTTTTTGACGGTCCCAGGGCCCGGCGAGGGCCGCTAGAGGCCGAAAATCGAGAAAAACCTCCGTCTTGATTTTCTCAACACGTTGGAGGTCTGGGATTTGGGTACCAAACTCATATCAGCTAATGCCTTGCTGCTTGGATCGTGGGCGGCCTCGTGGGCGCCCCGCGGGGGGGGGGGTGTCCGGAGGCCTCGCAGCGTGGCGCCCAGGGCCCGCTCGTGGGCGCCCCGTGGGCGCGCCCCCGTGCGTGGAAGGGGCGTCTCCGGAGGCCCGTCGCCCGCGCGCGCTCCAAAGGTGCCGCGTGGGATGCCCAGCAAGGTTCAGCCTCGCGCAGAGGGGGGTGGGGGGAGGGAGGAGGGCTTCTTAGAAGCACCCCTGCTTCTCAGAAGGGCGCGGGCCTTGTCTATAGATGTGAGGCCGGCGCCTTCTGAGAAGCAGCCTGCTGCTCAGAAGCCCTCCCCCCTCCCCCCGCCCCCTTTGTGCGCGCCGCCAAAAGGTTGCAGATTTATGTCGGGCGTGTCCCCCTACAGGGGGGGCTTTCGACGAAAAATACAACATACCCCCAGAAAACACCCCAAAAGGGCCAAAAGATACCCCCCAGAATAGTCCCCGGATTAATTTTGGATTCTTTTTGTAATATTTTTGGGGTATTTTTCATTTTTCGTCGAAAATCCCTCTGTAGGGGGCAGGCCCGACTTAATTGCAGATGGATCTGACATGGTTAAGACCACTGCACCAGCGCCTCCCTGAGGTCAGCGCCAACATGGTGCCCGAACATATCCGCCCCCCCTGAATCCCGACTCGGTTCTCCTCCCCGCTTCTCTTCCTCATTCTGCTAATCATCTCTGTTTCTTCCACACCACTTTCTCTCTTTCTCCACTTCCCAACCAGTTTCCTTATCAAGCCGATTCCATTCTCGCTTATTGGACACACCTACTTGATGCCATGTCCGTGATTGCTGCTTGTGCCCACCTAGTGGTCTTACTGCAGCTGCTACCCGCTTGTACTATCAGCGTCGAGAGGGCCGAAAGGGCTGAGAGGGCCGAGAGGGCCGAAGCGAAGGTATCGCGGACCACTCATTTCGCCAGCGTGGAAGAGAATGCTATCAAGAGGGAAGGGTCGCTGAAGTTAAAGTCGCAGCACAAAGTCGGCCTTGGCGTAATGAACAGGAGGGGGGTCACCCAGTACAGCCGCCGTTCGCTCAAGAGGGCGAAGAGAACGGATGGCAAGTTCTTCTGGCCCGACTCTGGCAATCGCGAGTCGTTCAACTACACCGGCGCGACGGACCTCACAGACAACATCTCTTGGGGCTGGCACCACCCGGCCGGCATCTACAACACAATCCCGGTCGGCAGCCCGCTCATCGACGACGAGCTTAACATCTACATCGGGTCCGACGACGCCATCCGGAAGTTCGACATCACGGGGCAGATCTTGTGGAGCTACGCTCCCCGAGGCCAGCTCGCTGCCGCACCCACCCTGGTCACCGCCGCGAGCCGACGCCAGGCAGCCCGCGTGTCTGACGAAATGGGCGAGGAGGCAGAGGATATGCTGCGGCCTGATTGGGACAAGGGCAGCGCGTCGAACTCCTTCCAGTTCTTCAAGGACTTTAAGATCGGCGACGTCGTCAAGGTGAAGCCTGGCCTGAGCTACCGGGCGGACGGCAGGGAGGTCTACAAGGACGGCGACCAGGGGATGATCTCCGAGTTCGTTCCTGGGGAAAACAGGGACGGTAGGGCCGTCATTCTGTGGACGCGCACAGGGCACAAGAGCGTCGTGGATACCAGCGCCATGAAGAACCGTTTCGTGCGTGTGCAGCAGACGCTCGGGGAGGAGTCGTTGCCTCCCATGCTCGTGGGGAGCACCACCGCTGGCTACGTGTTCGCCATTGCTATGGACAGCGGGGAGGAGCTGTGGGCAACCTGGGCCTCGAACGACATCGCTGGCGTCAAGGGGTCTGTCGCAGCCAAGGACGGAGTCGTCGTGGTCGCAACCGACAGGTGCACGGACCGCTATTGCTACAGGTACCGAAACACGACCAACCCACTCACGGAGGGCAATTCCAGGGTGCGGGGCCTCAGCGCCGCGGACGGCAGCGCCATTTGGGAGTACAAGACCATGGCGCCGGTGTGGAACATGGTTCCGCTGTGGGGCCCGAACAGCGACGTGATTTTCCAGGATTGGGAGGGCCGGCTGTACTCCCTGGACTTACAGACTGGTGCCCTCAGATACAGGGTGGGTGGCAACATCGGGACGCACACCCACGCCGCCGCCACATACGATGCGGGCCACGAGATGGTGATCGCCCTCGGCGTGGGCTACTACCAAGATAAGTACTGCAATCCTTACATTGCACCTGGCATCCTCATCAACTGCAACACGTGGCCAGGCGTAAGGGGCTTCATCCGCGGATACAACGTCTCCTCCGGCCACAAGCTGTGGGAGCGCGAAACGCCAGAGCCGCCGGCCAGCGCCGCCGTCGGCATGACCAGCTCTTGGGCGCCGGGTGGTCACACCCGCCTGGTGGTCACCATGGGCTACAACTGCATGCATAACTCGCCGTCGCAGATCTGGGCCATCGATCCGAACAACGGCCACATCCGGTGGAAGAGGGACGGCCCGACGCTGTGGACCAGCACGTGTGCTGGCGACAAGGAGGGTGCCGACATCCGCAGGGCCATGGGCGGCCGCGCCGCATGCGCGCCGAACAGCTGGTCCGTACCGGCGATCGATGCGAACGGTGACGTGTACGTTGGCAATCAGGTCGGCGTGCTGCAGAAATGGGGCACGCCGACCGGCATGACGAGGGACATCCAGATCCTCTCGACCCTGAACACTGGCCACGCCTTCCAGGATACAGCCATTGCGTTCGCCGAAGGCGTCATGGCCGTGACCACGTGCACCTCCCTCATTGTCCTGCAGACGAATTATTCAGAGTACTTTACGAGCGAGACCTGGTCAGTCACGGCCCCACCGAACGTTGACGGGGAGCCTTACGGCTACAGCTCGCCCGTTGCCCGCCACTCGGCAGCGGGCAGCGCGTGACCGAGCGCCCCATGTGGCCGGGCTGCTGCTCCGTGCGATGCATTTCGGAGCCGCTTGTCTGCCAATGCGGAGAACAAGGGCGGAGGACCCCAACATCCGATGATGTCGTGAGCAACACCGAGTCGTGAAATAACAGGCACGACGTGGGCCCTCGTCCCCATCTTGTTGGGGCATCCCTCGAGCTGGCTTGATCCGTGAGTGCCACGGGGCTCGAAACGGTGCAACATGGTCCGCTGCGATGTCTTCACGACGCCCCGATGTGAGTGGAGGAGGATGAGGAGGGGGAGGAGGAGGAAGAGGAGGAGGAGGAGGAGGAGGAGGAGGAGGAGATGGAGGAGGAGATCTGGACTTGATCCTGTTGGGGGCTCCTGCCTCCTGCACGCCTCCCGACCCAGCTCAGCACAAGACGCTGCATCGACCGACCCTGCGCGCGACACCGCAGCTCCCCTGCCCTTCCCCCCTCGCCTTCCTCCTGGCTACTTCCTTCCCTCCTCATCGTCTTGCTCGTAATCCTCATCGTCCCCACGAGCCCCCTATCATCTGGCGAAAGGGCTCGGCATGTCAAGTCGTGCTTCCTCTCTTGGGGCCGTCTTGGGGACCTGTTGGGCCTTCTTGGGGGGCCTCGAGGGCCGTCGTGGGGCCATCTTGAGGGCCTCTTGGGCAGCACTGGGCGCTCTTCAAGGCCGAAGGGCCGAGCACGCCCAAGCTATATGAACACTCGTGGAGGTTTCAATTGTCTTAGCCTCTTGGGTGTGCCCCCCGCACGGCTTCAGAACGGCCAAGACGTGCACAAGAGGGCTCAAGGACGGGCCCAAAGACCACCTTAGGCCCTCTTGGAAGCATGAGTTCCCAACCCCGCTCCCGAGGCTTCTGAAAAGGTAGCGCGAGCGGCCTCGAGAGCGCCCGCAACTCCTGTGGTCTGGGTCCCTGGAAGGGTCTTCGCAAGACTCCTCGGCGGCGAGCGAGGGGGGGAACTGAGAACGGGCGGGCCTTCTCAGAAGGCTCGGAAGTCCCCAAGCCTTCTGAGAAGTTTTCGAAGTTTTCTCCGAAAACACAAAATTCCTCTCAGAAGGCGCGAGGGCTTCTGAGAAGGCCCGCCCCCTTCTGAGAAGGCCTTCTCCTTCTCTTTCCCCCCCGCTTGCTGCCAAACTCAGCAGAGAGACCTCGAAGGAGGACACTTCACTCGGTGCCCACGGCACAGCGACGGGCAGCACCGGGGCGCTGTAGGCCCCAGTCTTCTCCGGGCTTTCGCCCAGTGGCCCCCAGTGGCCGCCTCCGGTGCGCAGAGGCACCTGGATCCATGACCGGGTGCATGCTGGGCGCGCTGCGTCGGGGTCTGTATTTGTTGTATCCCAGTTCGAAGAAACAACATCGCCATAGACATAAACTTATGGCGCTCCGCGGGGGTTTCTTTGATCTGCGCTGGACCCCCATGGCGGCGCCTCCGGCGCCGCCCCTGGCGCGCGGAGCGCGCCAGGGAGGGGGGTCCAACGCGGATTTGGTGTTTCTGTACCAAAGCGGAGACCAATGATGGGCGCACGGCTCGCTCAAATCGAGTCTCAGCGCGGTGGCGGGCCCCTCTGAGTTCGACGCCAGCAGATGAGGTACTCGAGTGTTTCCGGCCCTGCCTTCTTCCGAAGTGGGTAAACCTTTTCTTTTCGTCACCAATTTCTCCCCTCCTCGTCCTCTCAATCAGTCCGCTTTTTCAAGCCGATTCCATTCTCACTTGCAGGACTCACCCACTTTATGCCACGTCCCCGATCGCCGCTCATGCCCCCCCCCTGTGGTCTTGCGGCAGCTGCTGCCCAGCAGGGCTGTCGACGTCGAGAGGGCCGAAAGGGCGGAGAGGGCCGAAGGGACGGCTCCCGTGAGGGCTCACCCGATTTGTTTTCTTTTGCGAAGAGCTGAAACCAATGAAGACGTCAAGGGGCTCTGCGCGCACCAGCCGATGCCCGGCGAGTATGCAGATGAATCTGGCAAGGTTAAGACCACTCCACAGGGGCCTCCCTGAAATCAGCGCCAACACGGCGCCCGAAGACGTTCACCCCCACCGGATCCCGACTGGGTTCTTCTCCTCGCTTCTCTTTCCCATTCTGTTAATCGTTCTTGTTTATGCCACGCCACTTTCTCCCATCCTGCACTTCTGAATCAGTTTGGTTTTCAAGTTGATTACATCTTTGCATATTGGACACACCTACTTGATGTCATGTCCATGATTGCTGCTTGCGCCCACCTCGTGGTCTTACTGCAGCTGCTACCCGCTTGTGCTATCAGCGTCGAGAGGGCCGAAAGGGCCGAGAGGACCGAAAGGACCGAAGCGAAGGTATCACGGACCACTCATTTTACCAGCGTGGAAGAGAATGCGGGCAAGAGGGAAGGGTCGTTGAAGCTAAAGTCGCAGCACAAAGTCGGCCTTGGCGTGATGAACAGGAGGGGGGTCACCCAGTACAGCCGCCGTTCGCTCAAGAGAGCGAAGAGAGCGGACGGCAAGTTCTTCTGGCCCGACTCTGGCAATCGCGAGTCGTTCAACTACACCGGCGCGACGGACCTCACAGACAACATCTCTTGGGGCTGGCACCACCCGGCTGGCATCTACAACACCATCCCAGTCGGCAGCCCGCTCATCGACGACGAGCTCAACATCTACATCGGGTCCGACGACGCCATCCGGAAGTTCGACATCACGGGGCAGATCCTGTGGAGCTACGCTCCCCGAGGCCAGCTCGCTGCCGCACCTACCCTGGTCACCGCCGCGAGCCGACGCCAGGCAGCCCGCGTGTCTGACGAAATGGGCGAGGAGGCGGAGGATATGCTGCGGCCTGATTGGGACAAGGGCAGCGCGTCGAACTCCTTCAAGTTCTTCAAGGACTTCAAGATCGGCGACGTCGTCAAGGTGAAGCCTGGCCTGAGCTACCGGGCGGACGGCAGGGAAGTCTACAAGGACGGCGACCAGGGGATGATCTCCGAGTTCGTTCTTGGGGAAAACAGGGACGGTAGGGCCGTCATTCTGTGGACCCGCACAGGGCACAAGAGCGTCGTGGATACCAGCGCCATGAAGAACCGTTTCGTGCGTGTGCAGCAGACGCTCGGGGAGGAGTCGTTGCCTCCCATGCTCGTGGGGAGCACCACCGCTGGCTACGTGTTCGCCATTGCTATGGACAGCGGGGAGGAGCTGTGGGCAACCTGGGCCTCGAACGACATCGCTGGCGTCAAGGGGTCTGTTGCAGCCAAGGACGGAGTCGTCGTGGTCGCAACCGACAGGTGCACGGACCGTTATTGCTACAGGTACCGAAACACGACCAACCCACTCACGGAGGGCAACTCCAGGGTGCGGGGCCTCAGCGCCGCGGACGGCAGCGCCATTTGGGAGTACAAGACCATGGCGCCAGTGTGGAACATGGTTCCGCTGTGGGGCCCGAACAGCGACGTGATTTTCCAGGATTGGGAGGGCCGGCTGTACTCCCTGGACTTACAGACCGGTGCCCTCAGATACAGGGTGGGTGGCAACATCGGGACGCACACCCACGCCGCCGCCACATACGATGCGGGCCACGAGATGGTGATCGCCCTCGGCGTGGGCTACTACCAAGATAAGTACTGCAATCCTTACATTGCACCTGGCATCCTCATCAACTGCAACACGTGGCCAGGCGTAAGGGGCTTCATCCGCGGATACAACGTCTCCTCCGGCCACAAGCTGTGGGAGCGCGAAACGCCAGAGCCGCCGGCCAGCGCCGCCGTCGGCATGACCAGCTCTTGGGCGCCGGGTGGTCACACCCGCCTGGTGGTCACCATGGGCTACAACTGCATGCATAACTCGCCGTCGCAGATCTGGGCCATCGATCCGAACAACGGCCACATCCGGTGGAAGAGGGACGGCCCGACGCTGTGGACCAGCACGTGTGCTGGCGACAAGGAGGGTGCCGACATCCGCAGGGCCATGGGCGGCCGCGCCGCATGCGCGCCGAACAGCTGGTCCGTACCGGCGATCGATGCGAACGGTGACGTGTACGTTGGCAATCAGGTCGGCGTGCTGCAGAAATGGGGCACGCCGACCGGCATGACGAGGGACATCCAGATCCTCTCGACCCTGAACACTGGCCACGCCTTCCAGGATACAGCCATTGCGTTCGCCGAAGGCGTCATGGCCGTGACCACGTGCACCTCCCTCATTGTCCTGCAGACGAATTATTCAGCGTACTTTACGAGCGAGACCTGGTCAGTCACGGCCCCACCGAACGTTGACGGGGAGCCTTACGGCTACAGCTCGCCCGTTGCCCGCCACTCGGCAGCGGGCGGCGCGTGACCGAGCGCCCCATGTGGCCATTAGCGCGGCCGAGTTGCGGTCGATCCGCTTCAGCTGCTGCTCATTGCGACGCGCGTCGTGGCTGCTTGGTCTGCTCCTTCTGCAAAAGAGAGGATGAAGGGGGGGGGGCAGGAGGGATGCGAACCCTGACATCCGACGTCGTGGAAGCAAACACAGCACGACGCCGTGAAGAACAAATGTCACGCCTGGCGCTCTGGACTCCTTCGTGATACGGCAGGTTCCTGTCGTGTCGACGCCATGGTGACCCCGCCGCGGACGTTCAAGATTGAACGTCGCCAGGGGCCCAGAACCTGCCGATGTGCAACGATCCGGCGAGCGGAAGTCCGTCGATCGCTCCAGGTGGAACGATCCATGCGGTGTCAGAAGCCCACGCCGACGTCGTCACGGCACGAACCTTCCGTACGGGATGCTCGAGCCGGATCGACCCGTGCGCATCCCTTGGCGACCCCGCCACCCGCCCTGGCGGGCCCGTCTCCCGCGCCGCGGACCGGCGTGCGCACACGCCCTCCTCTCGGCCCAGGCCCGACGGCCCAGCTCTTTTTTCTCGAGCCGCCACCCCGGGACATACCCGATGCCCGGACATCTTTCTCGAACATGCCCAGGAGATCACCACACGTTGACCTCTCTGAACGACCATCCCCCGAACATGAAGCCGGACACATTTCGAACATCTCCAGAAACGCACCCCGGACATCTCTCGAATAGATTGAGGAAACCAGCATATCCCCGCGATTCCATTCGATATTTAACTACAACTCTAGGCCTCCCGGATGGGGTCGGAGCAGATGAGGTCGGAGGATCGCGTCACATCGCCGATGCATCGGCGATGCGGCACGATGTGGAGCCCGTGTTTCTCCACGCCCACGTCGCCGATGCATCGCCGACGTCGCCAGTGCATCGCCGATGCATCGCCGATACATCGGCGACGCATTGGCGATGCGGCGCGAGTCCTCGATCCCATCCACTCGGACCCCGTCTAGGAGGCCTCTACTTCCCCAGGTCGGGGGCGGCCAAGACGGGGGTGATGACTACCGTCGGACCGAGGTACAAAATCGAGGTCGGTTCGGGGAGGGTGCCCTAGGGTTTATCGTGTTTGCTGGATGCTCTTGCGCATCCTGGGGAGGGTGCCCTAGGATGCTCTGCTTGTTTTGGCCGAGACGGAGG